CTACAATCTCTAGCCGTATGCAAAATAGTTTAAAATATTTCGGAGCGTAATTTAATTTTTTACCAAAAAAAGTTAATTCATGGTTACTTTAAAATTTACAATAGATCCATATTAGTTTTTTTAAGGAATTAATATTAGTTTTTTTTTTTTAAATTTTAGAGGAATCACAATTTCTATTAACTGAATCTATTTTAAATTTTAGAAGTATCACAAGTTAATTTTTTTAAAATAAAAAATTAAAATGACTCCTTAAACTTTTATTAAGGAATCAAAAAATACTTTTCTCTAACTTTTTGAGTGCACTTTTTAAATATGACCATTTTGTCCTTTATCTAAAGATATGATTTTTTTTTTAGTATAATTTTTTTTTGTTTTTTTTGAATACAGAAGAGATATGATTTCTGTCATAGACTTTTTGCTTTTTAAGTATACTATTGGAATATGATACTTTGATTCTTTTACAGCTTTTGACGTCAAAAGGCGTGAAACTTGTTTGTTATTTTTTTTATTGGATTAATATTTCTTATAGGAAATTAATTTTATTTTTTATATTTATAAAAATATATATGGGATCTATGTAAATAGAAAAAAGATAAAAAGAAAATATTAATCCCATATATTTTTACGTTTGTATAAAAAATAAATTTATCTCCTATAATATAAGAAATATTAATATTTTTTTATTGTCATTAGTTTTATTTACATTGTCATATGAGCATTAAGAATGAGAGCACAGTGACCGAGTGTTTTTTTATGGTTACTAACATATTGCTTTATGAAATCAAAATTGGACCTAAATAAATCTGAAAGAGTAATTTAAAATTTAATTAACGGTTATTAGCAGGTATGGTTCCTTATAAGATAATTGACTTTGTTTAATTTAATAAGTCTTCATTATTTTTAGTCCTTGGGCGTGTGTTAATTGATAGGCCCATGACTTTTTTAGAATCATTTCGATTTTAACAGCCTGATAATTCTAAACCTTTTTGTTGATAGTAATTGAATAAACAAACAATTACGTTTTTATTTTAATTTATTGATTTTTAGTTAAGGCGTATAATGATTAGTTTAATATTATTTGGGAACATTTTAACTCTGATAGTTTAATGATTCAAAATTTATCTAAATTAATTGTAAAGCTTATAGAAAACGAAAGTAGTATATTTAAATGTTGTCCTCCTGTGGATTAGGTTAAGCTTAATGTTGATGGTGCATGTGATGCTAATGGTACTAGGACTGGGTGTGGAGGAGTTTTTCGCGATGCCTCAGGAACTTGGATCGTCGGATTCTGTAAAAATTTAGGCTCAGGTACAGTTTTACATGCTGAGTTATGGGCTTGCTTGGTTGGTTTGGAGCTAGCTTGGGATAGAGGTTTTAGGCAAGTATGGCTCGAAGGAGATTCTCTTTCAGCTCAACAGCTCATTACAAATGAGTGCCACCGTGATTACCCTGCGGCTAATTTGGTAAATCGTATTCGAAATTTGATGCAGCGAGATTGGCAGATTTATATGTCTCACATTCACCGTGAAGGAAATAGAGTAGCGGACTTTCTAGCCTCTTACTCTTATGGTTTCTCTTGGGTAATTCAGGAATTTGATTGTCCACCGTCAGGTTGTATTGATAGTCTGTATGGTGACACTATAGGTGTTCACTGGTCTAGGCTTTGTGCCTAGTTTCTTTTTGTTGTGTTTTTGTTTTAATTTCCTATTATTTTCAAAAAAAAATGTTACAGCTTGGTGATTTGAAGTTATTAAAACTTAGGATTATACATATATAATGTTATATGAAAAACACTATTTGATCCTACGTAAATATAAAAGAAGAGAGAGAAAATGAGTTGAGGAAAGAGAAAATAAAAAATTATGGATCCCGCATGTGTTTGTTTGAGTAGAAAAAAAAGCTTACATCATGTTACATAATAAATGTATTTTCCTAATACTTATCATAAATTTATATTAATATAATATTATTAAAATTATCTTTATTAAACGAGTGGTTTAGCTGTGATAACTTGCTAACTCGTGACTTCTACTAAAGTCATTTTAGCTGAAAGGGCTTGATAATTTAAAATAGTCAAATTTAATAAACCTTCTAAACTAAGATTATGAATATTTAAATTAATAAACCCATATACCTTTTAAGAACAATATTACTTTGAATTCCTTATAATATCAGGGAAAACGTTGGAGCGAGATTTTTCCGTCAAATTTATTTAAAATTTTAATAATTTATTTATATTTCTTTCCACATAAGTATATACCTCTTTTAAGAATAAAACAAATATTTTTAAAAATTATTAATAATTTGCACAACTAATATAAAATAATCGTTTTTAAATGAATGTATTAGAAATGTAGTGAGATTAAATTTCCATTATTCTCGGTATATAATTAGACTCCATATCTTTGATATACAAATTTAAAAACCAATTTATAAAATAAAAAGGATTTTTAAATTTTTATAATTTAAATAAATTTATAGCACTTTATATTTATTTATTTATTAAAATAATTTCGGATGGTTATATCTCACGGCCATTCATATATATATAATAGTGGACTGCGTTATAATCTTTTCAATGATAAGAAAACTTTAGTTTTTCGACAGATGATACTTTTTATGTAACATAATAAAAGAATTACTTCTTACACAAATAATAAATAGAAAAGAGAAAAGGATTGGAGGTAAGAAAAAAAAATTTTGTGGATCCATTTAAAATAAGGTTTTATATGAGTTATATTGTAGAAAAAGTAATTGTGTAATATTATAGAGATTCGTTTTGCTTGTCTTAATTTTTTATTTTTTTTGCTTTAAAAAATACGAGCCCCACAAAATATTTTGTGTGTAAAAAAAAATTCATGTGATTTTAAAGGATAAACTCCAACCCCTTTAAAATATATGAGCGTTGAACCGAAAAACACTCCTTTGGAATTGGGTTTTGTTGCTTGAATTAATTAGTGTAAGAATTTTGCTGAGATTTAGAGCAGTTACTTACTCTTACTTTGCATTTCACAAGGAACCGGGTGGGCCATGAAAACGCAAAAGGAATCAATCACTTTTAGCAAAGTTAGTGTTCTTAGTGCTAGCGAGACTTCGCTATGAAGATAGCAATAATGATACAAAATTGTGCCTTCAGTGGGTGACTTAGTTGGTAAAACAAAATAAAAAAAATACAGTTGCAAAGTGAACAAGTGACGAACACTTATCAAAATGTCACTATTTTCAATATTTTTTTAAATATTACGTCAACAATATTAATTTTTAATATGTCACGTGAGTAAGTTTGTTGAACACTGTAACGAATTTGGTTGCGATTAATGCACCTATATGTTAACATGCAATGAAGTTCGCTGCCCACCTTAGCAAACTTCGTTGCATGTTTGCCATGTGTCATCGTAGCCGTTACACGTAGTTCGTTACAGTGGGTAGCGAATTTCGTTGCATGTCTGCCACGTGGCGTGACAGGTGAAAACGTGCAGATGTATTAATTGCAACTAAGTTTGCTACCTGAAATAGCGAACTTGGTATCCACCAGGAACGTGACATATCAACAAATTGAGTTTGCTACAGTGCACAATAAATTTGCCCACGTGGCATATTGGGAATTAACATTGTTGGCATGATATTTAGGAAAAAAAAGTTAGGGAACAATGACATTTTTGTCACTGTTCCAATAAGTGAACCCTTCTAGTACCTAAACTTGGAAATTATGTAGCACCGATACCGACACATGACACGGGACACGAGACACGACACGACACTCCGACATTTTAATTTTAAAAAATGTTAAATTTTGACACGTTAGTATACCTTTTGATATTAAATATTATTTTTAATTTATGTAATGTAAATCATATTTAATACTCAATAATTTAACAAAAAAATGAAGTTAAACTTACAATATCTATTAATTTTGTAAAGAAACATAAGATATTCCAAATATTTATATTAAACTCACTAAAATGATAATCGTAATCAAACGAATCTAATAACTGAAACTAAAAACGTAACGCAATGCAACCTTTAAAACATTTTTTTGAATCTCTACAACATATGTTGATATGTCGAGAAATGTCAGAATGTCGAGGCTTTTTGACACTAGTAGTCTTATTTTTATAAGATTTGACCGGAATAATTTCTTGGTCAAATTTATTACCTATGTAATGCATAACAACATGGTACTATAGGGATCACTTTAAGACGTGACACCTAAACAACCGCGTCAATTGTATTTGTCACGGATCGATCAGTACACTGAGATGCGGTACGGTCAGAGCCGCGCCCTTTGCAAAAAAAATTACACGGCACGCGGTACAATACCAGCCGCTTAAGATGAGGTACCAAAAATGTGGTCTGACAGAGTTTTGTATTGCTTGATTTAATAACACAAATACCACTCAATTTTTAAGATGTGCTCAAATTTACGATTAATATGATAGTAAATCTTTTTAAGGAGAGAGAAAGCACAACAGTTTTTTTTTTTTTTAATTTGGGTCAACATATCATAGGTACAATAATATGGCTTTTTCTTCAAAAAAATGTATCGATTGATTTAAGGGTTTTATAATTCTCATTTAACATGAGAATTGAAATCTTTCTACACACCCTTCAATTTTTGTGCTGACGTGGATCCTACACATAATTTTTTCTAACATATAGGTCCCATATACTTTTTGTCTCTACAACATAAGATTTCAATTCTCATGTAACTTGAGAATTATAAAACCATTGATTTAATAGTTTAAAAGCCGAATTTCGAAGAATATCGAAAGATGTCACGATTTTTTTGAAAGCGTGGTGCTTCATAGTTTAAAAGACTCCAACTGTCAATGTGCCTTCTTTTCCTCTAGATACCAAACCACCCTATCTCTTCTTTTCATTTTCCGCTTTCTTTCTCTATAAGTATTCATTTAAGCTGAAGCTGAAGCTCCATTCATCAGAAGCGTACCAAAAGACTAAATATTCATTGTGCACCTTCTGAGTCTGATTGTTAAGTAAAAATGGTTGGAGGAAAGGCAACTATGGTTACTTCTAGTAACGGTGACAATTCACTTGCATTAGTTCATGCAGAACAGCCTCAGCCTCTTTCTGTTGCACCAATAGCTTTCTCCTATAATGAGAGAATACGTCCAATACTTGATGCTGTTGAGAATCTAAGGCGTCTTAACATTGCTAAAGAGGGAATACAGCTTCCAACCATTGTTGTTGTTGGTGACCAATCTTCTGGCAAGTCTAGTGTTCTTGAATCTCTTGCTGGTATTAGTTTACCACGTGGTCAGGGCATTTGCACCAGGGTGCCCTTGGTGATGAGGCTCCAAAACCACTTGCTTCCAAAGCCAGAGCTTGTGTTGGAGTTTAATGGTAAAAGCATTTCCACTGACGAGGAACATGTTTCTGATGCCATAAACATTGCCACAGAAGAGCTTGCAGGTCATGGGAAAGGGATTTCTAATGCCCCATTGACTTTGGTGGTGAAGAAGAATGGTGTTCCTGATCTAACAATGGTTGATCTTCCAGGTATAACTCGTGTGCCTGTTCATGGTCAACCTGAGAATATATATGACCAGATTAAGGATATCATCATGGAGTATATAAGGCCTGAAGAAAGCATTATCTTGAATGTTCTTTCTGCAACTGTTGATTTTACTACTTGTGAGTCCATCAGGATGTCACAGACTGTTGATAAAACTGGTTTGAGGACACTTGCTGTTGTTACAAAGGCTGATAAGTCTCCTGAAGGCTTGTTAGAGAAGGTCACTGCTGATGATGTGAACATTGGTCTTGGTTATGTTTGTGTTAGAAACCGAATTGGAGATGAATCTTATGAAGAAGCAAGAATGGAAGAAGAAAAGTTGTTTGAGTCTCATCCACTTCTTTCCAAAATAGACAAGTCTATTGTTGGTGTTCCTACTTTGGCTCAAAAGCTTGTCCAGGTGCAAGCTACTATTATATCTAAAACATTGCCAGAGATTGTCAAGAAAATCAATGAGAAGCTGACTCATAATTTGTCTGAGTTAGATAAATTGCCCGTTAACTTATCTTCAGTAGCTGATGCCATGACTGCTTTTATGCATGTTATTGGATTGTCAAAAGAGTCTCTCAGAAAAATTCTTCTAAGAGGAGAATTTGAAGAGTACCCTGAGGACAAGCACATGCATTGCACTGCTCGCTTGGTGGACATGCTTGATGCTTACTCAAGTGAATTTTGCAATTGTGATGAGAGTGATGCTACTGAGAATTTTCTAATGGAAGAGATACAGGTGCTGGAAGAAGCCAAATGGATTGGTCTTCCAAACTTCATGCCCCACACTGCTTTTGTTACTATACTGCAGAGGAAAGTGAATGGTATTGCAAAGATGCCAATATGTTTTGTTGATAAAGCATGGAACTATCTTGAAACTGTGGTGACTTCTGTTTTAATGCGTCATTGTGAACATTATTTTCAGCTTCAGGTGTCTGCTAGAAGAGCTGGGCAGATTCTTATTGCTAAGAAGAAGGAAAGTTCAATTAGGCATGTGATGGAAGCTGTTGAAATGGAAAAGCATACGGATTTCACTTGTAATCCTGAGTTTATGCAGGAATATAATAGGTTAATATCTCGTCAAGATGCTTTTTTGAATGATGTTTTGGATAACGAGGATGAGCCAGACAATGTAATGATTGAGGGTGTTGGGCAGGTTGATGTTTGTGATTTGAGGAAATACTCTCAAGTTGTCCTTAGTCAAGCATTTGATTTGAAGGTAAGGATGATTGCATACTGGAAGATTGTGCAGAGGAGGCTTATAGACAGCATGGCTTTGCATTTGATGTTAAGTATTAAAAACTTTGTTGACAAGGATTTTGAAAAGGAGATTGTTCATGATCTGTTATCTACAAGTGGAGGAGGAATTGAAAGGTTGTTAGAGGAATCTCCTTCTATTTCTGGGAAGCGAGAAAAGTTTAGTAGGAGCGTCAAAGTTCTGAGAGATAGTAAGGAAACGGTAGCTAATATAATGGACAGAATTGGAAGCTATGGTGATAATTAGAAGATTTGCTCTATGTTCCTCGCATTATCCAGTCTTATCAACAAGCTTTTTAATCTTTCTGGAACCTATCCCGTTAGTAGTATGAAGGTTTTCTTTTTTATTTTGATGAAATTAAGGAATGGTGTGGTTGTTTTGTTTTTTCTGATTGTGATTGTATTATGATCAACTTTTATATCAGTGGAATTAAGTTGGCTATTTTCAGTTTTGCAGGGTGTGGCATGTCTTACTAGTACTTAAGAATAAAAAAGTTTGCAACAAAAGTGTCTTATTAATCTATCCTTAAAATAAGTTAGATTCAAAATAAAAATGAGAATGCAATTTATGTTGGACTAGATGCTATCGTGAGAGTGAGCAGTGTCTGAACTATTCATTTAATCGTTGATGGTAAAAGACTAAGCAGGTGTAAAGGGTTTAACAATATCAAAAAGATATATTAACAAAGTTTTATTTTGTCATTGTTGGGTTGCGTAAATGCCAAGCTTTTCAAATAAGTAGAAGAAAAGTGATTCTTACACACTGTATACAAATGTAAAATAATTTTTTCTTTGAAAAATGGTTCTAAAATTATGTTGTATTCCTAAGAACATTGAGATGAGAAATTTTTTTCCTAGTTAAAATTTACCAAAGGCATATTTTCTAGTCAACATTCCAATGAAATCATTCCCAAGAACGGAGGTGGGTTGGTTGAGTTCCAAAGTTTATCTAGTTAAGCTAGAAGTTCACCATTGAAAACATATATGAATTTAACATAATTGTTATGAAGGTGTGCTAGGTCTCATATTCAAGCCTCACCAAACACCAAAGACAATTAATTCATTCCTTAAAGAAGATGATGTCTGGATGCTACATAGCTTAAGGAGAGAACTTTGTTTTGGCTGACGCAAAAATACTGTCACCTTAAAAACAGTTGCCTTAGAAGATTTTATTCTATAAGCTCTTTTTGAAGCTTTCATTCTCGAAGCTGCAACAAGAGGCATTTTGCTGCAACTCTTATCCTACACCTCCACCCCACACACGACACACAAGATAAAATTCATAAAATGACAAATCAAATTTTTAATAGTAAAGATGAATAACATATGCTTTACCCTAAAATTCACAAATTCAATCAACCTAAATTTCAAGGGAGGTGTTTACATTGTTTTCCCAAAACTATATGGTGGAAGGGAGTCCCCCCAGCCCCTCTCAAATACCCAAAGCAAAACAAAAAAACAAAAAACAAAAAACTAAAAACTAAAAACTAAAAACTAAAAACAAAAAAACAAAAACAAAAACAAAAAGGGACTCTTTTACTCACCCTCCTAGAACAGATACAGATTTACACAAGAGCATAGATTGTGAACTCACCATGTCATGTGAATTAAGTTGTCAAAAATGAAGCTAAAATCTGCTGTATGCTAAAATAATGATCATATTGGTTTGGTTTCTGATAACCTTTAGTTTATCTTATTTTATAGACAAAATTAATATAAAATATCAAGTTAAATAAGTCAAAAACTAGGGTTTAATATAATAATCATGAACATTATCTGAATTTTTGTTTAATGGAATCATCTTTGCTATTTTTTAGGGATTTGTTGACAAAAGGAGTCAAAGATGAAGATTGGATAAATAGAGATCACAACTAGAAAAGATGAGATCAAGAGATGATAGAAGAAGATCAAAAACAATAAGATTGAAGATCTTATCAAGTTGTTAGAAGTGGGAGCTTAAGCCCCCATTCAGAAGCTTAAGCTCCCTAAAAACGCAAATAGCTACTGCCTCTGGGCGCTTAAGCCCTCAACTCAGGGCTTAAGCGCGCCACAAGAAGAAAAAGTTGTCGCGAGGAGCGCGCTTAAGCGCCCTTCAAAGCGCTTCAGCGCGCAACGCGAATCAGAATTCACTGTCCTAGGGCGCTTAAGCGCGCTACAACAGGCTTAAGCGCCCAGACAGATCCAACTTAGGCCCATTCGAGTTTTCTACTAGGATACAAACTCTTGGCCAATAAAAACACCATTGGGGACCAGAAATACAGAACTTTTACATTGCTAAACAACTCTTGGGTGCTCGGAGGCTGAAGGAACGCGGAGAAACATCAGATTCATGTTCGTGAGCGGCGGAGACGGATCAACGTCAAGTGTTCACTGGAGATATTGAAGATCCACCAATCACTTATGGAGTTTGGGGGAGCTTTTATATTTTCTTTTGTTCTTGATTTTGCCATGTCCGGCTAGTTCTTTAAGTAGTTAGGGTTAGATGGATTTTAGTCGATTTATTATGCTTTGAATAATTCGTACGTTAATTTTCCTTTTTATCATGAATGAAGTTATCTGTTTTTAATGCTTTATATAGGCTTGAATCTTATATAATGATCATCGGTAAATGCATGACAATAGGGATGTTGGTGCGTGACCCATATCTGATAACTTCATCGTAAACGCTATGATTCTAGGGATAGACATAGAATTTGCGTAACCTTAAGATTCTTGAACTTAATGCTTGCATTCTTGGGGAATAACCGGGGAACTAGGGTTCTTTCAAGTTTGTAAAGGTTTTAGGGTAACAAGGGATTGAGCTCTAATAACACGCGAAAGAATAGTTAGATTGATATTAAGGACGGTTAACGTAAAGAAGGACTTCGAATCATAATAAGGAGATTAAAGGAAATCGAACCCCTAGCTACGTTTTTATTTTATTAGTTAAATCACATCTTTAATTTCTTGTCTTTAATTCTTGCAAGTAATTAGCTTAATATTTAATATTTTAATTTTGCAATTCAAATCCTGTTTCCAAATACACTTTCGATTGTCCAACTAAGTTTGCGATAGTGAATTAGTGCTTGAACCGTAATCCTCGTGGGAACGATCTCTTACTTAATCATATATTACTTGTACGATCGGTGCACTTGCCATGAGTAGCAACAAGTTTTTGCCCTAAAAGATTAAACCTCAGTTATGCTGAATTATGGTTCTGAGGATATCTCATTTATGTCATTGCCAAATATTGAGGGAGAGCTAAGTGTAGGGACTCCCGTTGAATTGTCTGTTCGGCTTGTGCTTAAACTGTGACTTTCCTTGTGTTGATGGATGTCCCTCATTGCTTTAAACCTTAAATCTTCACTGAAAACACTTGGTTCTGGGATAACATCTGGAATGCTTATTCTTCCTTCAAGCATGTTCACAACCTCAGACATTGTAGGCCTAAGTGATGGCGCTGCATTTGTGCACAGTAGAGCTACTTTCATCAAATTTTCGGCTTCAGTTGGGTTTACTTCTGATCCCAACCTTTCATCAACCAGCTTCATTAAGTTTTCAGTACGTTGCAGATGACATGCCTGCAATGTGAACTTTTGTTATCTTTCTTTTACAAAAATGACAGATGTTTGCATTGGATAACTACCAAGGTAAGGGGTTTTTATAATGCTAAACATGGATAAGGGACTGAAGCATAGTAGAATACCATATCTAAAAGGCAAACACAATTATCACTTGGCATGTAATCGTTATTGTTCTTTCCACTAACAACTTCCAAGACCACAACTCCAAAACTGTAAACATCAGCCTTGTAAGTCAGGTAACCCCATAATGCATATTCTGGTGCCATATATCCTCTGCAAAACAGAATTAGCAGATTCAGGTTGATGATCAAGAAAACATCAATAAGCGCTGTATTATCAAGGGAGAGATTACTGACATTGTCCCAGCCACTCGGGTGCTGATATGGGTCTTCCCCTCATCATCAAGCTTAGCCAACCCAAAGTCTGATATTTTAGGGTTTAAATTCCCATCCAGTAACACATTAGTAGCTTTGATGTCACGATGAACAATCTTGAGTCTTGATTCTTCATGAAGAAAAGCAAGACCTTTTGCTATGCCAATACAGATCCTAAGCCTTGTGGGCCAATCAAGTTTAAGCCGATTTTCTGAGCCTTTAGGATATGCAAAAAGAATTAATATGAATCATGATCGTCAATTTCAATTCCCCTCCAGCTAAAGTGATAGAATTGGGAAAACGAAAAAAGAAATCAAGAGTATAACATTCCAAGCACAGTAATTATTGAATTAATTTGTCTAGACAAATGTGGGGAAGATAAAACAACTAGCATCCACTACTTATTAAGTTGCTATTCAGAAACAGAAGAGGATAAACTTCTGTGAAGACACACTTAGCTCAGATTTCGTACTGATTTCTCATTGTTGAGAAATATAGTCTCACATTGGTTGTATGGGCAACTAATGTGAGGTTTATAAGGCTTTGGGCACTCCCACCCTTTGAGCTAGCTTTTGGGGTGGTGACCTCAAGGATCTTAACATGGTATCAGAGCGTTCGAAATCTCACCGCCTCCCACTTTCTTTGTAGTGGAATTTCCACATGTAGGTGGGCTTGTATGTTGTCCACCCTTCAAGCCCAGTGGACTCTCGTGTGAGGGGGCGTGTTGAGAAATATAGTCCCACATTGGTTGTACGGGCAACTAATGTGAGGTTTATAAGGCCTTGGGCACTCCCACCCTTTGAGCTAGCTTTTGGGGTGGTGAACTCAAGCTTCTTAACATGGTATTAGAGCCTCGCCGCCCCCCACTTTCTCTTGTGACGTTTCTTAGCACAGGTAGGCTGGGCCTGTTGCATTGTCCACTTTTCAAGCCCAATGGGCTCTTGTGTGAGGGGGCGTGTTGAGATATATAGTCCCACATTGGTTGTATGTGCAACTAATGTGGAGTTTATAAGGCCTTGGGCACTCCCACCCTTTGAGCTAACTTTTGGGGTGGTGTATCCCAAGGCTCTTTACACTCATAATGATCACTTTGCATGCTATTTTAAAGAACATATAATAAATGACAAGGCAAAAGGCAAATATAATGGGTAAAAACTCACCGGATAAAGCACTGGCCAGGCTATTATTTTGCATGTACTCATACACCAATATTAATTGATCCCCTTCAACACAACATCCATGAAGTTTCACAAGATTAGGGTGTTGCACACAAGATATCATGCCTATCTCATTTAAAAATTCACGGTTTCCCTGCCGGGACTTTGATGAGAGTTGTTTGACTGCTATCCATGTACCATCAGATAATTGACCCTGCAATCCAACTCTTACTTAGAATTTTACATACTAGATCTAAGCAGAATTTTTTAAGCTTGGAAGAAAGTTGTTGGTTCACTCTACTACCTTGTAGACAGGACCAAAACCACCTTCCCCAATCTTGTTAGCAGGATTGAAGTCATCAGTGGCAGCTCTAATTTGTTTTAATGTAAATGTCCCTGTCTGAGAATCTTGTTCTTCTATACCTATCAAATTAATCAACCATAAAATAAGTACTTCAGAGAACAATCAGTTTCATTCTAAGTAGTAAGTTAATTTGAGTTAAAAGAATACAGAACATATCTGCATTGATTGAGAGTATTTGATGTAAATACAAATATTTGTTATGTGCCAATATACATAGAAATGCTTGTTAATATAATGGCAATAAGTTGACACAAATTATTTATAAGCTTAAAAACACCACCCACAGAAAAGTAAAATAAATATTTATCTCCAATCCTGAAAGGCTATTATTGGATCCAAGAATAAGGCCATTAAACAAGAGATTATCAAAAGAAACCCAGATGTACAGAATTAAGAAGAACTTTTTCTTCTTGTGTTATTGAACTATCTGACACTTGCCAGTGAATTTATACAAGGTCGGAATAATTAGGTGCAACATACCATTCACTTATTACTATTATGATTATGACATTAATGATTACAATGATCCAGAGAACTTCAAAGTAATCAATAAGTTCATGATGTTGTATTGATTATACTTTCTCTCCTTAGTTAGGATATCTCAATGAGATGACACCTGTCTTCTTATTCCAGTATCTGCTTTCTTTTCTTTCCTATTTTCCACCTCAGTCTCCCTACTAGTACACCAAATTGTGGTAAAAAATCCAATTTCTCCATATGTTCCATTGACCATGCAAATGTGCAATAAATTCAAATAACATAGTTAGTAAAGCCCGAGTCACTAAGATGTATGTAAGTTAGGCGAAATAGGGGTGAAGATAGAGGAATAGGGCCTATGTCAGTCTCTTTAAGTGACAGTTAATTAGTTGGAGCCTCTAACTGAATTGGTTGGAGAAAGATCAAGACAATAATAGAATAAAAGGGAGTGGGAGTGGATTCCAGAATTAAGGAATTGAGAGAGAAGTGAGTAGGGCCAATATTCTCTACTCCTGTGATTAAGAGAGAGAGAGAGACTTCCATTGTAATCCCCATTGAAACTCTATCTCTTGGATCCTGCTTCAGATCCTGGATAAGAGAGAATACTAAATAAAAATTCCAATTCTTCCCTGTTTCTTCACAATTCTGATTCTAGAACCTATTACATTTCTAAGCAAAAGTTTCTAAAACATAAATTTTTCCAGCTGTATATCCATAGAATGAATTAAAATTATGCACATGTGAAATTCATTCCACATTTTTTCAGATCAATAAAATTATCTTGAAATTAAGCACAATCGCACAAACCACCAAAATAATAAGATGATTATTTGAAATTCCTCACGAAACTTGCACATGCTTGTGCGAGGCTTCCTTTTGTCCCATGAGGTGAAGTACAGCAACAGACGGCAAGTTGGTAACACTAGAAAAGTGTTATAGGAAGAGAACAAAGACAATGTAAGCAAACCTTAGCTAGATGGAGGAAAGGGGAGATAAATGAAGAAAATTTGAATGTTGGCTCTGCAGTGTGCAACCTGTCTCGTTGTTGGCTCGTGTGTTCTTCCTTCCTTGATTATTTTCCAAGAGACACATATAAAGGCTAGAGTTTGCCTAGGAGGTCTCTTGACCTCTTCCTTAAACTTATAGAAGTGGGGAACTTCTCTTTTATGTAAGGGAAGTGGCGCTGTCAATTAAAATGGGGCGAGTTCTTTGCACTCAACCTACTTTCTTAACCTTCTTACCCACTTTGGCCCTAGTGAGGTATCATAATGGACAGTCTTTATTCAATCTTTCCAAGCCACACCTCCTAGCTAACTTCCCAGATGCTAAGGCTGGTTGATTTTCCAGGAAGTTTGAACTTAAAAATCATTATGTAGCAAATTAAATAAACTGATTTCATAATGATATAAACATGATTGTATTCACCTTTTTCTCTCCTAATTATTCCTTTGATGTAGCCTTTCCACCAACAGATTCCTACTATGATAAGGAATAGGCATAGAGCTGCAACTCCAACTCCAACTCCAACCACTATATGATGCCTTCCAGCTTTTGGGTCTGAACAAGGTTTAGAATCTGGGAGAAATAAAATCATGAGAGAGGTGTTCACTATAAAGAGAATGGTGTCAAAATATTTAAATTGGAACTGCAACTTCAAAAATTGAAACTTTGTTCAAATGCAGAAGAAAGGAAGAGAAGTCTTCTTATCCATGTCACCATTAATAATTAACTTAATTAATGGATAGAGAAGCATGTTTATTTTAAGTCCCTTACAATAATACAATGCACCAAATTCCAGCAGAACAGAAAAATTTAGGAGTGCCAATTTATGATAGTGTGACTCCGTTTCATGGCTTTTGAATGTTTTTCATGAAAAAACATCCAGTGCTACTTGTCCATGTACCAAGGCCAGGATTAGTAATGCTTGTTTCTCATAGCTGTAAAATGGAAAAATTAAACCAACAAGTTATGATCCATCTGTATGGGTAAAGGAAGGAGGTGGAGAATGAGAGAGATGTCCTCAATACAATGCCTTTAATTATGCATACAAACTTATTCAAATCACAACGGTTACCGTGCAAAATACAGCATCATTCTGAAGTTGAAGGTTACCACTATGTACAACCATTGGAAATTAAGGACCCAACTAACCAATTACAAAGAATAGAAACAATGAAATTCCCACATTTTATAAAAAGACCTGTGTTTGCTACATCTAAATGACTCTCAAAATTCAGACAGGTTCATGAGAACAGAAAATAACTTTACAGGTAAAAGGGTCATTTTACTGAACTCGAGTATATAAAAACTGTAATCAGTCCCAGATAAGGCCCAAGTACAATTTGATACAAGGTGTTAGACATGATTAAATGTGTGCCACACAAGAGTGGCTGCTTTTGATCCACACTGCTTTGAGACAGCTGTAGTTGGAATACCTCCAGCTGTAGTTGTTAATGAAGGAACTTGCATTTTCAAAATGATAACTTTTGGTATATAGAATTATAACGAAGAATTGAGGAAATATGTCCTGGTAAAACTTGCCCATCTTTATATTATATGTATACCAAAAAGTCATCCCACAGTAATATTACAATGCACAAGCTAAATCTTCATATGACTCACCAGAAACAATAGAGAAAGCTGATATGAGAGGACCATAAATTCCACTAACAGGAATTCTTGTAGTCCCCTTGCCAGCCCAGTAGAATCGAATCTCCAGAATATTGTCTGTTACAGTGACATTATATGTTGATATTATACGTGGTTTCTGAGCAACATGTGTTTCATCTTCAATATTAAAATCCTTCCAAACTAATCTTTCCTGCAACATAGCAATCTTGTTAAATCCTGATTTGGCCAACAAAACATAATTTCTTTATTTTGACCAATACCTGAACATAGATATCAAATATGCGCTTCCCAAGACTTCTATATGTGTTATCATTTGTAAATAGTAATTCAGCAAAGTGAAGATTTACAGTATATTTCCCATTCTCCAAGCAATAGTGAAAATAAGTAAGCGAAATTGGAGAGACACGAGCCGTTGTGTATAATTCAGGCATACTGGAAGATGACAAAGACTTGGTGTAACGTGTATTTTGGAAATCACCATCATCCATGAAGTCTCCCGTGCTACTAAACCCCCAGTGATTTGTATAATCATTAAAATATTTAGCAGCACCTCCAAACACATCGCCATCTCCTATATAGAGGATATTTTCATCATTTTCCATCACCTTTATATCCTTTCCACCACAATTAACATGCAAACAACTTGAATCTGCAATAATAGAAATATGAAGTTACAAAAAATATCATACAACAGTTATGCATCAACCATAATGCAACATCGAAGATAATCATCATGTAATGTTCCTTTTTTGGCTGTTCAAATGTCAAATCAGTTGAGAGCTGTGATATATGGATCATAACCTATATATTATATACCAATAAAATATGCACACTTCCAATTAGAGTTGAACTTGTGGTATCACTAAATAAAAAAACAACTATTTTCTAGTGGAGAAGACAACTTCAGAGAACAAAACTTATATTTCTCTTCAACTTTTACTCTGTGTACTTTGCTTACAATATGGATTAGTTTATATAGGCAGTAGATTGCCTTTTCATGAACCTAACATTAAAATAGCCATAAACCACAAAATTAAACTTCCAACTCTTGGCCTCTCATTTTCTTCTAACTCTTGGCCTTTCACTTTCTCACAACTCTTGGCCTTTCACTTACCTAAAAACAAGACTGCTTAATTAAGACTATTAAATATAAAACTAACAAACCATTTAAAGTTTATTCAACAAAACTCCTTCATAAACTTAAATGTTTCTGCCATCTTTCATCCCAAGCATCTTCTTGCAATTGTTGAGCAGCACCGTCGGTAGTGGCTTTGTGAAGATGTCCCCGACTTGCTCTTGACTGGTCACGTGTGTTACCTCCACATTTCCTTCCTTTACTTGATCTCGGATGAAGTGAAATCGGATGTCAATATGCTTGCTTCTTTCATGATTTACCGGGTTCTTTGCTAGCTCTATAGCCGACTTATTGTCAATTCGGATCACAGTTTGGCCGACTTGTTTTTCCTCCAGCTTGCTTAGCAAATTCCTGAGCCACATTGCATGACAAACACACCAAGATGCAGCTACATATTCAGCTTCACATGTCGACAGTGTCACAATAGGTTGCTTCTTCGAAATCCAAGTGAATGCCGTGTTGCCCATGAAAAACACATAACCAGCCGTGCTCTTTCGACCATCTACGTCTCCACACCAATCATTGTCAGAATATCCAATCAACTTGTATTTTGCCGAGCTCGAGTAGTGTAACCCATGTGAAACTGTACCTTGAACATACCTCAGAATTCTCTTTACCGCCTTCCAATGTGTGTATCTTGGCTCCTCCATGAACCGACTTACTATGCCGACACTCAACGAGATATCCGGCCTCGTGCATGTGAGATAGCGTAGGCTTCCCACCAAACTTCTGTACTTGCTTGCATCAACATGGTCTCCTCCATCAAACTTAGAAAGTTTTGAACCGGGTTCCATTGGTGTTGAAACCGGGTTGCAATCTTCCATCTTGTACTTTTTCAAAATCTTTTTTTGCATAAGCCTCCTGTGACACGAAGATTCCCTTCTCATTTTGTTTTACTTCCAAACCGAGAAAGAACTTCATAAAACCGAGATCTGTCATTTCGAACTCTCTTGTCATTGTGCTCTTGAACTCTTGTATCATCTTGGCATTGTTTCCCATAAAAATGAGGTCGTCAACATAAAGAGCCACAATTAACAAGTCTCCTCCATTTTTCTTGACATACACAGCATGTTCATATGGACATTGTTCAAGTCCATTCTCCTTGAAATATTTGTCAATACGAGCATTCCATGCTCGTGGTGCTTGCTTCAACCCGTAAAGTGCTTTCTTCAATCTCAGCACCTTCTTCTCTTCTCCTGCCTTCATGTAGCCCGGCGGTTGTTCGACATAAACTTCTTCTTCAAGAACACCATTCAGGAATGCCGACTTTACATCCATTTGATGTATTGGCCATCTGTATTGAGCAGCCTGTGAGATGAGTAGCCGAATTGTCTCCATCCTTGTAACAGGGGCAAACACCTCGTCATAGTCAATTCCAGCCTTCTGCTTATAACCTTTTGCAACTAGCCGAGCTTTATATCGTTCTATCTCTCCTTGAGCATTCATTTTCTTCTTGAACACCCACTTCACTCCAATGGGCCGACTTCCTTTTGGTAGCTCGGCTAACTCCCATGTGTTATTTCGGTCAATGGCTTCTATCTCCTCATCCATGGCGTCTTTCCATTTCTTATCTCGGATGGCTTCTTCAAAACTTATGTTCTCAGAGTCTGCAAGAAGACAAACAAAATGTACCTCACTTGTTGACTCATATATGTCTTGTATGCTTCGCATCCTGGGTTGTCGTACCTCGTCTTCATCATCAGAAGCTTCAGGACTTGTCGGGTTGATAATTTGTGTTGTGATTCCGTCATCAAAGTTTATCTCAGATGAATTGCTCCAGTCCCACTCATTTGCTTCATTGAGCTTTACATCTCTGCTCACTATGACTTTCTTGTTGACGGGGTCAAACAGCTTATACCCCTTTGTTTTTTCATTATATCCAATAAAAACATATTTCTTGCTTTTATTCTCGAGCTTGGTTCTGAGCTGGTCCGGTATGTGTGCATAGGCCACACTACCAAAAACTCTGAGATGAGCCACTGAAGGCTTTTGACCGCTCCATGCTTCCTGTGGTGTTTTGTCATCCAAGCTTGAATGTGGACATCGGTTCTGCACATACACAGCACACTGCACAGCTTCCGCCCAAAACTCCTTCGGCATCCTTTTGTTCTTCAGCATTGACCGAACCATGTCAAGAATAGTCCGGTTCTTCCTTTCAGCCATGCCATTCTGTTGTGGTGAGTATGGTTCTGTTAGAAACCTCCTTATCCCCTGTTCCTCACAGAACGACATAAACGCTGTTGAGGTATATTCCCCACCTCTGTCAGACCGCACCGATTTGATATAGCTTCCTGTTGCTTTCTCAATCATCACCTTGAACTTTTTGAACACATCAAACACCTCGGACTTCTCCTTCAGAAAGTAAACCCAAGTTTTCCGTGAGAAATCATCAATAAAGGAAATAAAATACTTCTTACCGCTGAAGGAACCCGGATTGATGGGTCCACACAAGTCGGTATGTATTAGTTCCAGAGGTTGCTTAGCCCGGAATCTTGCCATCTTCTGAAACGTGGTCCTGGCATGCTTGCCAAGTACACAACTCTCACAAAACTTCCCTTCAAAATTTATGTCAGGTAACCCGTCCACCATCTTTTTCTCTGCCAACTTGGTTAGACCACCATAATGTAGGTGACCAAACCGGAGATGCCAAAGTGACGCCTTATCTTCTACCTCGGCTTGTAAACATTCAACCTGTACACATTTCAAATTCAGTTTATACATACGATTCTTACCCATTTGAACTCGGACTATCATCCGACCTTGCTCATCTTTCAAATACAATACCCGGTCTTTCATAATAACCGAGTAACCTTTCTCCATCAGTTGACCCATGCTTAAAATATTGCTTTTTAGGTCGGGTACATAGTACACATCTCGAATTAAGCCAATTAACCCGTCCTTTTGTAGGAAACAGATCGTACCTCGGCCTTTTACCTCAACCTTTGAGGCATCCCCGAACGAAACATGTCCGGTTTCCACTTTTATCATCTCCTTGAAGAAGTGTTTATGTCCGCACATGTGGTTGCTCGCACCCGTGTCAAGATACCACTCCATGTCATCGTCAGGACTTCCTTCACTGTGTGTCATTAACAAGACACCATCCTTCATCTCGCCTTCTGTGGCTAGGTTGGACGTCTCCTCCGCCTTTTTCTCCTCTCTGCATTCTCTTGCGAAATGTCCGACTTTGCCACAGTTGTAACACTTTTCCGAGTTACAATCTTTCGCATAGTGACCAAACTTTCCACATTTGTGACACTCGATGTTTGAATAATGTGACCGACCTCCTCGTCGACCTCGTCCTCGTCCTCTCCAGTTTTGTTGATTTGACTGTCCTACCTCATCACTATACACTTCTTGACTTCGGCCTCGACCTCTACCACCACGGCTAGTACCTCGTCCACTGCGGCCACGTCCTCTACCTCAGAAATTTTGAGAATAGAGCATCTTCTCATCTTTAATTGTTGTTTTGGTCTGAAGTGCCTGCTCAAGAGTTTCCTCCTTCTTCTTCTTTCTTTGTTCATGCGCTTCAAGGGAACCCGCCAACTCGTCAATGGTAAGTGTAGACAGATCCTTGGACTCCTCTATCGCACAAACCACGTTTCCGAACTGGTCTGTCAAAGATCTCAAGATTTTCTCCACCACTCTGGTGTCAGGTATATCTTCTCCATTCCGTTTCAACTGGTTCACAATTCCTTGAACCCGGGCAACGAACCTGGATACTCCTTCTGTGTCCTTCATCTTCATTCCCTCCAACTCGGCACGAAGGGTTTGAAGCCGGACTTGTTTAACCCGGTTAGCTCCTCTATAGACATTTGCCAAGATGTCCCAGGCTGCCTTTGAGGTCTCACAATTTGCTATCTTCTCGAACCCGGATTCGTCTATAGCTCGGAAGAGCATGAATAACGCCAGCTTGTCTTTTGCACGCGTCTCTTTCAACGCTTTAGTTTGAGCCGCCGAATAGCCTCCAGTATCCTGTGGTTCTACAAAACCTGCTTGAACATTCTCCCAAGCGTCCTGGGATCCGAGAAGAGCCTTCATCTGGATGCTCCAATTCTCGTAGTTCTCCTTCGTCAACTTAGGTAGTGCCATATCACTCCCCCTTTCCATAGCTCTGATACCAATTTGTGGTATCACTAAATAAAAAAACAACTATTTTCTAGTGGAGAAGACAACTTCAGAGAACAAAACTTGTATTTCTCTTCAACTTTTACTCTGTGTACTTTGCTTACAATATGGATTAGTTTATATAGGCAGTAGATTGCCTTTTCATGAACCTAACATTAAAATAGCCATAAACCACAAAATTAAACTTCCAACTCTTGGCCTCTCATTTTCTTCTAACTCTTGGCCTTTCACTTTCTCACAACTCTTGGCCTTTCACTTACCTAAAAACAAGACTGCTTAATTAAGACTATTAAATATAAAACTAACAAACCATTTAAAGTTTATTCAACAGAACTCTTCTAGCACGAATTTTAGTAGTTAAGAGTCAATTCAACAATACATTTATCCAATTCTGAATTCCTACTTTTCACATTCAGTTTAGGGTATCTTCTTCATCAAAATAACAAATCCATGAACAAAAAATTTATAAAAATTATAATTTAAGTCATCAAACTTATATTTTTGGCAAAATCCAGATTGGATACAGAAAAAGATATAATAAATAAATCAGATTAAGCAATTAACTTAAAAACAGGAAAAACCATTTAAATGATAAGAACAAAAAGAAAAGAAGATATGCATGAGAATAGATACATGCATGCTGAGCATGAGCATCTACTGCTTCACACCATGAAAAGACTCTAATGACTTTCAAAGCCCAAATGGATCAAACTTCAAATTGATCAGCCATTTGCGTAGGAAAGGGGATTTTATATGTATCTCAGTGTTTGTTATCAAAGAAGCCTAGGTTACTTAAGATCTTATGACAATTGGCATTTAAGTTCTTCGAGACTTGATAAAGTAGCAAAAAACTCCGAATAGAGAATATATAATTACATGTAGGACAGTTGAAAGTCTTTAAGCATGGAAGAATCCCCTGTCTGTCAAGAATCAAGAGAGACAGTGACATCATTAGAACTCCATTTTTCAACATAGTTTACTCGAATTATTAAAACGAAGAAAGAATAAAAGACAGGCACTTACAAAGCATTAATCCCTAAGGAGCTACGGAACAAGTTTAGGTTTAAATTCCTGACCAAGTTAAACAAGGTGAAACAATCATCAGTTTTACCATCCAATTTTATAACAATAATGCCATTTATACACCATTTTTATCACACCATTCTTAAAACACTTGCCTTTTAGATAATACAACAAAAACACACATTCCAACACACACACACTCTTCCCTTATTTTCCAAAACTAGAAAAAAGCGTGAGGAAAGTCTTAAGAATTATGGTGTATAAACAACAAAGTCCTAGGAATAATTATTGCAAAAAGACTCTGCATTCTGACAGGTAATTTCCACAAGCAGATTGCTCAGGTCCTTGCCACGTAAAGTTGTTGTAAGAAAGATCACTGCATACAAAATATCAGAAAGCAAGATTATCAGCAGTCAAATGATTATACCTATACCATCATATATACAATCATATTCTTCAACTGGTGCAGAATCCATCCAACATGCTATTTTAAAAGATTTGAGGCTAGAAGACTTATAATAGGTTTATCAGCTCGAAAACTCTGCATAAATAATATTTTATAGAGGAATAAAGAAATGTATGAACAGAACAGAAAGATATAGAGTAAGTATGCTTGAAATTTCAATTGTTTTCCCCTCATCCTACTGATAGCAAGAATAACAGCTCGGAATACACTTAAATTTGAGCAGTAAACAATACTTTGCAATATTGAAGTTAAAATGGCTGAGGAAAAAGACATACACATTGCTTCCATCCATCAAGATTGAGTCAGGTATATTGCCACTTAGCATGTTGCCAGTAAGGAAACTGAAAAAGGGCAGAGGAAAATTGTTTACCATTACAACACTTAAACTTCGAGGCAATAAAAGGGAACATATTTTTAAAGGGCACGAGCCTGCATTCATGGTTCTGTTGAAAAGAAAACATGACAGTAATTATTACTACTTCAACCCTTAGTTGCCAATATTGCATTTGTTTTTATGAGGTGTCTCACCTACTTTATGATAGTTGAGAGAGAGAAGGTAATTAATTATTCTACTTATAGTTCAATGCTTGCTTGCCGTGGTGTGTCAGGTCGCGGGTTCGAATCAGCCTCTCTGCAAAATGCAGGGGAAAGACTGCCTAGAGTATTCCCTTCCCCAGACACTCACGAAGTGGGTATTTGAACTGGGTCGGCCCTTCATAGTTCAATGCAGTATATTTTAAAATTTAGAGAAGTGTACTTACACAAATCTCAGATGCCCCACTTGTACAGTTGCTGGTATTTCCCCAACCAACTTATTGAAACTGACATCCCTATAAAAGTTGAAGAAATAGTATAAATTTCCGTAAGTATGGATTCTGAACTAGGTTTATGTGAATATACAGCTAAATTATGAATTAGTATTATTATGTCAAAATGAATCTGCATCATCTAAATTTCCCTGGGAAGAAAATTTTAATTTAATAAATATGCTATTCATTGCAGCATCCAGGAACCAGCTAAAAGATGCTCCCTACAATGATAGATGTTAAAAAGCAAAGGAAGCTGACAACAGATTAGTGCAATCTGTCTACAGACAATCAGGTCAGAGTAAAGTGCTAAGCATCCCAATTAGGTTAGCACCCTTAACACCTCACCCTTTTCTATTAAAATAAGAAAAAATAGAAACAGTTACTACAATAGGAAAAGTGGCATAAAGCCATAACGAATATCAAAAGAATAAACAATGCACTGAAAACCTTCCCATCTAGCCTCATTAGAACCTTTTCCGAGTAAAAACCCATATAGGATTTATTTTCAGTAACCAACAAAGGATTTATTTAGATTGTGCCACAGTCCAAGTGGTGACGAAACTTAACTAATTTTCATCCAAACAGTCTACAATTAGCATAGGATTTGTCCCATATGTGTGCTTGCGTTGAACTTCCATTTTAAGTAGTTGCATATATTGAACACCCAGGAATAAATAAATCTGCAGGTGATGATAAGTTCCATTTACAATAATATGATTGATTAAGTAGAGAACATCAGATGATTTAATTTGGCTTAAGCTTTTTTATTAGATTTGAAACTTCGAAGTCTCCTTTTATATTTTCCTTGGATGAATTTGTTCCATTGTCCCAAATACTATTTGTTTAGCAGAATGGCTCTCTTCAATTGACAGGATCTTCTATTTAAGGCTTGATGGTTTCAAAACATCACCTAGACTTCCATTATCAGTAACTGAATTGAAGCTTCATAAACACAAGCACAAAAATTGCTTCATTGTGTATATGCAGTTACAGAGACAAATGTTAAAATATACAGGGAAAACATTTAAAGAAATAACATTCTTAGTGTATCTGTTATTAGATAAACTTAAATGTACGGTTTTTAGATTAATGGGTCTCTAGAAGTTTTATGTTTAGGAATTAATGTTGGTTAAGTGTTATGGGGGTTTGGTTTTGATATTTGTTAAATGGCTGTAAGTTTTCTACGGTTTATGTTTTATTGCGTTTAATAGCTTTTAATAGGTGTTTAAGTTATTTTTAGCAAGCTACCATATAAGGAGATGTAATCGTCATAGAAAGAACAGAGCAAGAAAAGAGAGTTTGATAATAAAGAAAAACTTTCGTAGATTATTCGTTTGGTTGTCTCTTGCATCTGTGTGTTGATACCTTAACAGTATCATTCTAGCTTTTGTACCAAATTTTTATTCTGTTATCTCCTGAGGTTTGAATAGTAAGTTCAAAATATATTTACTTTCAGACATGAAAGTTTTCATAAAAACAAATATCAACAAATAAACTGAGAAAAATATATCCAAATGTCCATGAATTCTCTTCGGTGTGTGGCTGTGGACAATAGATCATGATCTTACTTCTGTTAGATAAATTTAAAAATATTAATATAACCTCACCTAAAAGCTTAAGCTTTTGGGTTGAATTAACGCTTTATATGGGATCAAAGCCGACATGAATAATTGGTCATGAGTTCGATCCTTATCGCCCTCATTCTATTCATAAAAATAATTAAATATTTTGGAGTTTCTTAGCATAGGTAGGCTGGGCCTAATACATCATATATCCTTCAAGCCCAATAGGCTCTCGTTTAAGGGGACGTATTACAAAAATATAAAATCATTAATATAGCCTCACCTAATAGCTTAAACTTTTGAGTTGAATTGGCGCTTTACAATTTCAATAACCTAAAATTACTATATTTTTATTATCTCTGTTCTCTACAATTAATAACATGAACAGGAAAAGAATTCTGTTTGAAACTTTGTTGAATAAGTTAATATAAGCTACAAGGTTATATATCATTTTATGTACATTTATCAATGAACATGTTTGGCAAGTTTCCCCAGTATCTATTCTAGCATACAGGAACATCAGCTTTTACTTCGGCATGACCACAGAATTCAGAACAATTAATCCAACTTCCCATATTACCTTGTACAACAAATTTAGATTCTCCTCAAAACTTTCACATTCTATTCGCTTTTAACTGCCTTTTTTCTTAATAAACATTTAGTCCCCTTGCTTGTGGACAAAATTTTCCATCTTCTATGATAAGTGCCTCACAAACTTGAATTAATAAAACTGAATGTTTTGTTAGATATCAGAAATCGAATAGGATGCCAGGAGTAATGTTTTTATGTACCAATATATGTGTGTATCTTGGTATGTATCTATGCATGTATAAGAAAAGAATGGTGTTTGTATTTAAGGAAAAAGAAATATGGTATTTGTATTTGCTCCAATAACAAAAGAATTGAAAAACAAGCTTATGCTTAAAAAAAAAAAAATGTTACTCACAACATTTCCAATTTCTTCATTGTCCAGAAGTAGCTAGGAAGCTCTCCAGTAATGTTACAATTTCTCAAAATCCTAAATTTAAAAGCCTGAATTACTTTAAATTAAACAATAGCAGATAATGTATATATAAAAAAAAAAAAAAAAAACCAATAGCAGATAAAATGTGCCAACTATTTTTTAACGTATAGAACTCAACATACAATCTTATCATTCCTGCCATGTTGCTTAAAATAGGAAAATCCTGACTTGGACTATTTATGTCACTAATCCTCCTGTATCACATTTGCCAGTTGCCACCATGAGCTAAACATAAATATAACAAGATGAGGGGGGGGGGGGGGGGGGGGGCATTAAAGAAACCAGTAAAAACAAATTAGTAGGGATTTTACTTACAGTTGAGATAAATTACTCAAAAGAGATATATTTGATGGGATAGGTCCCTCCAGCCCACTTGCATGCATCTCTCTTCAATGATTCATATTATAATGAGAATCTCTATCTTAAAATAAACATAATGTAGGCTTATCTATTGTCAAAAGTTAAAGCGCATTTGAAGCATTGTTAAAAACAAGGAAAACAAATAAAAGGTGCAAAATGCAGTCTCACAGTCTTTGAAGTAGTTTCCAACTCTGGATGAAGCTAGGTATTTTTCCATTGAAATTATTATCATTTATCCTACTGCAATGCACCATAAAATATCATCAGGGAAAAGTGCCAGTATTTATTTTCTATGGTAAACAGTTAATAAGAACTTACAAATCTGTCAAATTCTGTAACTGAGCAAATGTCACTGGTAAGTTCCCAGACAATTTATTGGATGATAAAATCCTGCAAGGATGATATTGCATATAAAAAGCATCAGATACAGAGTGTTTAATATTTAATATTTATTCCAACAAAATAACACATGAATCTTGGAAAATAAATAGAAATTCATTGTCTTACAAAGTCTGCAGGTCAAACAGACTTCCAAGTTGAGAGGGAACAATACCAGAAAATTGGTTTGCTTCAAGGTTCCTGATTTGAGGCCAAAGTAAAATGAAAAGTAAAAAGTAAAAATAAAAATAAAATAAGATTGTGAGATGTCCAATGAGAAAGTAAGATAAATGCACTATATCATGAATAACATATAACATTTCTGGCAAGGTATATGGTAAAAAATCACAATACACTGGCAGCCTAATACATGAATCTTTCAGAACCATATAGCAATATACATGTCACATGAAGTATAGAGATGGAAATTTAGTTTCACTATTAGACTTTAATCAACTTAAATCTTCAGAAAGTAATGAGAAAATTGTATTCATAAACTTACAGGTATGTTAGAGTGGTAATACTTCCCAACTCCTTAGGAATTTCTCCCGATAAACGATTAACAAGTAGAGAGCTGCATAATATGGTGTATTTAATCCAAAAGGCAAGTAACTGAATGAAAACTTTAGTTTGTTGATAAGAACTTACATTGAGGTGAGTTTCATTGAAGCCCATTCTTTTGGAATTGTACCATTTAGGTAGTTTAAAGCAAAATCACTACAGTGAGAGCAAATTTCATTTCAATTGGCAAGGGGACAAGTTCAACCGAAATGAGAACAAAAATTGGTTGAAGTGAGAAAACCACAAACCAAATTTGAACATTAAATACTAATGAAGCATTTTTAAGGTATGTGTTTATAGTTCTTACACTTCTCTGAGGTAAGGAAGCTTAACCAATTGAGGTGGAAGCATGCCAGGAAGGTTGTATCCCTTGATAATACTAAAACATGGAAAATTATTTTTTTTAAAAAGAAAAAAAGAAAATTAGACTCAGCCAACTATTATTAAGATGCAATAGTGGTGTTTCAAAATTCAAAGTCCGCAATGAACTTCTCATATCTAGGATTACATGGAAATTAAAGATTTAAATATATATATATATATATAAACAGCCAGACATATCAGAAAATGTAGCAAAGGATAAATTACTTCAAAGCACTCAGGATAAGATAAAGAGATTTTTACATCCTTACTACATGACAGGTGTTTTTATCAGAAGAGCAATCACAACCAATGCTGCATTCAGTGAATCCAAGAGGTGGCTCTGGTGTTAACCCCACCATTTTAATTTGACAAGAATCACTATCAAACTTCCAATAGGTGGCACCCATCGTGCTAGTGATTTCTTCAAGAGCAGTAACTGAAAAACATTTGAGGAATATATTATTAAGACATAACAAAGTAAAGTTGTATATGTAATAAGAAAAGGAAACAAAATAACAAAAAATATGTTAGAACTAAATAAAGCTTGATAAAGGTATCTCCATAATTAGGACAACTGACATTAGAATTCACTAGCTGACTTGACATTGATATTATGGTGTAAAAACAATTCAAATTAGTGATTAACTGCATTTAGTGGCCACACACTAAAAAAAGGGGGTGCACTCAACAAGTTCCTGCATCACTAGAATGGAAAAAATTTAAAATAAAAAAAATGATTCTTACCCTCCTCCTGGGGTAGTTTGGATTCTGCATATTGCAGCCATCTGAAACAACTCAATGCAATGATTAAAAAAGCAAAAAAGGTTCTAGATAACATGCTCAAAGACCCAGCACTCAGAAGATTAGTTTTTTTTGTCTTCAAAGCTTTGTTCCTTTTGGATTTGAGCTAAGAAAATCATCAGTTAGCAGTTTAGCACTTGGCAGAGACAAAGAACGAAAAACCAGAAGGAGAAAATCAAAGCAGAGAGAGAGAGAGAGAGAGAGAGAAAATGCACGTGCTGCTTATACACTACAAAATATTATTGGTGGAAACAAAGGACCCAGATAATATCTTATATCACTGTTTGAGAAAGCAGCGTAGCATACCTTCTTTTTTTTATTTTTATAAGCGTATCCTACATGAAATATAATTTTGTTTGGAGCGTTCTAAAATTAAGATTTGAAATCTCTTCAAGAGGAGGAACACATAGTCTCGTTTACATTTCTCAGCTTCTATGCGTCTATTTTTTAAATATTTTTTTGGGAAAAAGAACTATCATTTTGAATCACAGAAGCTTCTGTCCTCTTTTACACAAAGGATGAATGGTTATATTTTGTGTAAATCTGAAAAGTTATTCTTTTTTTTCTCTCTTCCCAGTCCCTAGTCACATGGCTGGCTGACGTGTAAAATGAAAAAAAAATAACTTTTCAGATTTACACAAAGTATGACCGGTCACAATTTATGTCTTTTTAAATGACACACACTAAAGTTCTAATTTTTTAGTTGACAATGTTTTTTTATCTCAAGATGAATTCTTACATAAATTTTATTAACAAAAAATAAACATGGGATTCATTTAAATTTTTTATTAAACAATTAAAAAAATTAAAATAAATAAATAAATTTATACAGAATAAACAAAGATAAATAGGGCAGATCTACTTACCAATTATCACCAAAAAAATTTACCACCTTTATAACCAAACTAATTACCATTGATTTTCGTCAATTTAACGGTTATAATTTCTTGGATTCATGGGAATTAATAATTAATTAATAAATACGACCCAATAATTTTCAATAAATTATAACCATTAGATTGATATAAATCAACGGTGATTAAGTTGGTTATAAAGGTAATAAACTTTTTTGATGATAACTATATTATTTCTCTTGTTTTATAACTAATAAACAAATTTTTAATCACTTAATATGTAAATAAATTCAATTTAATAAAATATATTTTATGTCACCGATATAAGTGCGCTGAACTTTTCTTCACATTAATAGTGACTCAGGTTTAATACTTAACTTTTTTTAGTAGGTAATATGTAATTCCATTTTAAATCCTCAATCACGATATTTTGCAATAGGCATGTCTTCCCTAGTTTAAATATTTATTTAAAAAAAAATCAATTTATCAACTTTCAATGCACCAGAATATATATATATATATATATATATATATATATATATATATATATATATAGAAAAGTGTTTCTCATTTTTAATAACATAAAGTTATGTCATTTTAAGAGAGATAGATACAAAATAATATTTTTTTATTTAAAATTTAAATTAAAAAACCACTCACTTTCTCTTCCATAATTTTTATTTTTTGTATCTATCTCTCTCCTAAAATGATATAACTTATATCATTTAAAATAACAAATATCAAACTCATATATATATATATATATATATATATATATATATATGGAAATGAAATCATTTCTTCGTTAAAAATAGGAAAATTTGTCATGGGTCGTAGAAACAAATTAATAGAAAGAGAAAACATAGAAGAATAAGAGAAAAAAACAGGGATGGAACCCACTCCGCTCCTTCTATCCCTCTAGCAGACAAGTTTTTCTGCAAACAGAAATTATTTCCCGGATATATATACACCTTTGAATGTTACAATACAACTTACTAAAAATCGCAAAAGTTTAATTATTTTTTATGACTGTTCAGGGGATGTTTGGTATTTCTATAAATTTTTTAGTACTTGAAAATCATGATTTCTAATAATATAATGAAGAATTGAGTTTATGGAAATGATATAAAAAAATTGTTTGGTAGACGTAAATATTATTAAGAATATTGAATAATTTTACTGAATATGTGTTTGGTTGATAGTAAAATATTACTCGTAATATATGATAAACTTACCAAACTAACCTTTAACTTTTCAAAACAACAAACCTAGGTTTTGATGTGAGTTAGGGTATTTTTGTCTCACAATTTACTTTTCAGCTTTCCCTGATGTTAGATTCCTCAATTACCACATATTTTTTTGGTAGTCTGAAATTTTTGGTAAGCGACCGAGAAAGACATAGCTTTATCAGTCATCTTCGAATAACCTGTACCAAACATATCCAAGGGAAGGAAGGAGTATGAGCATACTAGGAATTTTTCGTTCAAAAACGGTGGCGGAACAATTGTTGCGTTGGGACCCTTGTTTTATTTTTTTTTTGGTAAAAATTGGGACCCTTGTTTTATTACTTTTAATATCAACTTGTTTCCAAATGGATGAGCACGTGGGACCCTTTTCATTTTGGTGCGCATTGTCTATGAACTGATTATAAATTTATAGTATTTTGTTTAAAAGATATAAATTTTGTTCTATTTTTATACTTATTATTATTAACAAAAATAATGTCATGACAACTCACAAAATTAAAAGAATGCTTAAACAAGGGCTTTTTGACCCTTTTGCCCCTCATTAATTAATTAATAACCAATTTGCCCCTGATCAAGAACTATCCACCAACCTGCCCCCTTTTAGTCGACTACCTTGCTGTTTTAGTCGAGCAAATGGTCAATCTTCAGAAAGTGGACTACCGCAAATTTAGTCGACTAAAAAATCATCTTAATCGACTACATTTTTGGGATATTTAGTCGACTAAGTATCGATATTTAGTCGACTAAATGTCGACTGAAACCCTATATTTTCCATGTTTTCGGTCTCATTTCGATTGTTGTTGTTGTGTAAACCTAAATAGCTCCCTTTGTTCATGTGTAATCCTCTCAATCCGATTGTATTTCATCCCACCATCTCTACAGACCTAATATTGTGAAATCATTGTCATTGCCCAATTCCAAACCCCAAAATCCGAACCCAAACCCCCAATTTCAGAACCCAAGTCCCAATTTCGTGAGGAAGATGAGCACAAGTCCAAACATGTATGTGACAATGATCTACTATGATGGAAAGCATTATGAAGGCCCCAATGGTGTTCAATTTGAAGGAAAAACGAAAATGTTAAAAATCAAACGGGGCACTACATACAATGAGTTAAAGGAGAGAATTAAGCAAAAATTGGGTTTGCAAGGCAGCCAATGCGTTCAACGGATGATTGCCAGGGTAGAGACAACAGTTGGTAAGGATGCTATTTACTACATTGGTAACGATATATGTGATGATGAAGATGTCGAATGTGTCATAGATGCAATTGTTGACCGAAAATTTCAAAATTTTATTGAGATATATGTTGAATTAGATTGTGGTCAATCTTCATCTGCACCCATGCATACAAGAAGTGAACCGTATTTTGGTCATGAAGAAAGAGTAGTCGATTTATCTGCACCTGCACATGTCATAAGTCAGATAACACTGCGGGAAATAGATGAGGATGAACAGGATGCCGATATGGACAGCGATGAGGACGGTGAACCTGAGAGTGTTATTCCACTAGGTGACACGTCAGATACTGACGTAGAGGGTGATTTCGACGCTGACACAAGCTCACCATCCCCGGGTTCGCAGGTTACGAGACCACTTCGTGTTGACCCTGTTAGCAGTGGTAAGATTTGTTTTTTAAAGATTTAATTTAGCAATTATTTTTTTGTTATGAATGGTATTGACAGTGGCATTATAATGCATCCGTAGGTTCTGAGGTCGAGCCATTTTGGAATGAAAGCTCACATTATACCTTCATTAATTGGGCCCACCCTAATGATGAGACGGAGATATTGTATGGTGACGATGATGATCACGGTGGCTGGCAATTAGGGGATCCTTTATATTTGTATCAGGAGTTTCGTAGCAAATCTGAAATGCAACATGCAGTCAAATTATATTGTATGAAGGCTCACCGTACTGCCGTTGTGGCAAAAAGTGATGACCATAGATTTGTGATGAAGTGTCGACACCATAATGATGGATGTCCCTGGTATGTGAGGGCATTGTTGCCGAAGAATGGAAATACTTGGGTGGTTAGTAAATGGGTTAAAGAACACACCTGCCTAAACCAATGTCTTACCCGGGATCATAGACAGTTGGATTCTGATGTGATATGTGCAACCATTATCAGTATGTATTATTCGATATATCTAACTTCCTAAGGTATGTTAACGTTAATCAGTTTGTATTCTGACTGTTGGCCGGTGTTTTTTTTTATATAGGTATGTTAAAAGAAGATCCATCATTGAAGCCAGTTCTTATTCAAGAGAGGGTACAACGTTTGTATGGATACAACATATCTTACAGGAAAGCTTGGAAGGCTAAAATGAAAGCCATTGTCAAGTTATTTGGCGACTGGGATAAATCGTATGCATTCTTGCCTGGTTGGCTGACATACATGACGCAGGTTAATGTGGGTTCTGTGTTCAAGATTGATACAGACCAATGTGTTGATGAACGTCGAGTGTATACGGATAAGGCTGTCTTTCACCGAGTATTTTGGACCTTTCACCAGTGCATTGAGGCCTTCAAATATTGTAAACCCATAATCCAAATTGATGGCACGCATTTGTACGGTAAATACAAAGGAACTCTTTTGATTGCAACTTCACAAGATGGAGATGGTTACATTCTCCCTATTGCATTTGCTATTGTTCCTCCTGGTGAGAGATTGGATGATTGGTCGTGGTTTCTTAGCCTCATGCGTTTTCACGTCACGCATAAGCATGGCATTTGTCTAATATCCGATCGTCATCCCAGCATCATCAGGGCTGTAAGAGATCATGCCGGTTGGCAGCCACCATTTGCGTATCATGTGTTTTGTCTACGCCACATCGGAAGCAACTTTAACACTAAGTTCAGAGATGTGGAATTAAAGAAAACCCTGATGAAGCTAGGTACAATCTTCTTTTTAATATGTACAAATTGTATATAATTCA